GTGGGGGGAGGGAAAGGAGGGGAGGAGGGTAGGTGGGGAGAGAGAGAGAGGGAGAATAATAGATTTGACGAAGCTTTATATGTGCACCACAAAGATGCTTCCCTCCTTCCCCCTCCCTCCCTCCTTCCCTCTCTCCCTCCTTCCCTTCACCCCTGCCTCCCTTCCTCACCCTTTCTTTCCATTTTTTTTACTTTTCACCTTCCTCCTTCCACACATCCTTCCTTCCCTTCCTCCCTCCCTTAATTCTCACCCTTTTCCATCACTCCTCCCTCATCCTCTTCCTCCCTCCTTCCCTCCTCCCATATTTCTCCCTCTCCCATCCGCTCCGTCCATATTTATCACTCTCCTTCTATCCATCTATCTATCCATTATCCATTCCTCAATCCACCCATCCATCTATCACTCCGTCTATCCCACAATGCCCTAGGAAAAATAAATAATAAAATAAATAAATAAATAAATCTGATACATAATTGAAGGAGAAACAATTTATTAATTTATTTGTCGATTTTTTCATATTTTTTCGTAAGATGGAAGACGATTTTTTTTTGTAGGATGAACAAGACTATGTATGACTCCTTATGTATACGTGGTGTATTTTAGATATACAGTACATACATAAATTGTGTATTTCAGGTATACATGTGTATATATGGCGTACGAGTATACATTTCACTGATGTATCACCTAGCAAGATTGTATGCGTATGTATGATTATGCATTCTTACGAAGTGGTTAATTTCAAGCAGTTTAAGAATTAATTCATATATATACGACATCTGTATATTTATGTATATTGTTAAACTCTACTTCATAATTATCCTGTACACGTTGTATGTATGTCTGTATGTATGTCTGTATGTATGTATGCATGTATGTATGTATGTATGTATGTATAATTTTGTGCAGGATGGAAACGTGTATGACTATGTTGTTTCAAGTTAACATTGTGAAATAATATCTCTCTCTCTATTATCTATCTGTCTATCTATCTATCTCTTCCTTTCTCCTCCCTCCTTATTCCCCAACGTATAGGGAAGAAGGAAGGTGGGGGTAAACAAGTTCTCTCTCTCTCTCTCTCTCCCTTCACTTCTTTCTCCCCCTACCTGCAGGGAGGAGGGGAGGGGGAGGGGGAGGGGAAGCCATAGGGAGGCCCTCTTCTAAGGCATTGTCCTTCTGGTCCATATGGTTTCCCTCCTTCCTTCCTTGAGGGGGGCTGTAGGGGGGTGGCGGAGTAAAGGGGGAGGCAACTAAGGGAAGTGAGTTCTACAGGGGGAGGGAAGGGGGTGGGGATGTATATAGAGGAGTGTATGTGGGGAGGGGTGTACATGGGAGAGACAGAGATGTGTGTGTGTGAGAGAGAGAGAGAGAGAGAGAGAGAGAGAGAGAGAGAGAGAGAGAGAGAGAGAGAGAGAGAGGCGCCTCAGTTCCACCCCAAGACATCTCAACCCCATAAGCCCTGATTTCACTAACTAAACCAATCCTGTCACGAATGATTGACCTATATAATAAAAAAGAGACGCTGGTGATTAGGCATAGTGGTAGTTAGCGGCAGCAATGATTCGTTTCCTGTACAACTCAAGCTCTCAATTGCCTTAATCACTTGTTATGGATCAGTGTATAATCTACTCGGTGTGGAAGGACTGGAAGGGGCACTGAACCACACCTGGTAAAGATTGGCTTTAGCACTCACATCCCGATTGGTAATGATGGTATGATTAGATACTAGTCATTAGGATTTGGGTCAATATATTTGATATGGTACTGAATGATTGGTAAACTGTCTGTCTGTCTGTCTGTCTGTCTGTCTGTCTGTCTGTCTGTCTGTCTGTCTGTCTGTCTGTCTGTTGGTCTAAATTGGGAAAGAGACAAACAAATTTAATAAAAGAACTACAACAATTAATTCAACAATAACAACAACAACTACAACAATTACATCAACCACAACAACAATTCATTCAGCAACCACAACAATTATAAAACTGCCCATATAAAATGTAAACACCCCTTCCTTCCTCCCTCCTTCCTCCTCCCCAACCTTTCCCCAACCCCTCCCTCCCTCCTCACCCCTCCCTCTCCGGCGAACCCTTCAAATCACCTGGACCAGAAACCAGACCTCAGGGTGTGACCTTCACCTCTGACCTAACTTCACCGGAATTAAAGAAGGCGTTTCCTGGGCCACCACACCTGCCTCCTGGGTGCTATTAACTTGTTTAGAAGTTTTAATTAGCTTTTAATTATATCTATTATGGTTAACGGGAGTATACACGTGTGCACATAGATTAATACATACATACATACATACATACATACATACACATACATACACAGACATATACACAATTATCATTATTACGCATACTGCCTCCATCCCCTCCCATTTGGCACCAGTAAAGGGAGGGGAGTTGGGGAAGGGGCAGGGGAAGGAAGGTACAAGGCGCAGGCGCAGTGGCACCCGGCAGGCGTGACCAGACAAAGATGGAGGTAAGGTCGTGGCTGACAAAGGTGACCCCCAACACACACTGATTGAGGTCACCTGGGCACCCCCTCCCTCCCTCCTCCCCTCCTTTCCCTTTCCCACCACTAACACCCCTATCCTACATGCCCTCCTCCTTCCCTCCCTTCTTCCCTTCTCTCTCTCTAAACTCCTCCCTTTACTCCCTCCTTCCTGTTCTCCTCCATTCTGTTCCCTCCTCACCTCCTCCTCCCCTCACCACCCCAAGTCTTCTTAACCTCGTCTCCTGTTGTTGTTGTTTGTTGTGTGTGTGTGTACAGGTGGTTAGGTGATGGTGGTAGTGAGACAGATGGTGGTAGTGAGACAGATGGTGGTAATTGAGACAGATGGTGGTAATTAAGAGACAGATGGTGATAATGAGACAGATGGTGGTAGTGAAACAGATGGTGGTAGTCAGACAGATGGTGGTAGTTAAACAGATAATTGTTAGTGAGACAGATGGTGGTAGTGAAACAGAATGGTGGTAGTGAGGCAGATGGTGGTAATTATTTAGATGGTGAGGTATTACAAAACAGATGGTGAAGTGATAAAACAGATGGTGGTAGTGAAACAGATGGTGGTAGTGAGACAGACGGTGGTAGTGAAACAGATGGTGGTAGTGAAACAGATGGTGGTAGTGAGACAGACGGTGGTAGTGAAACAGACGGTGGTAGTGAAACAGATGGTGGTAGTGAAACAGATGGTGGTAGTACCTCAGATGGTAATAAAGACGAACAGGTGGCAAACAGATGGTGGTAGTGAGACAGACGGTGGTAGTGAAACAGACGGTGGTAGTGAAACAGATGGTGGTAGTGAAACAGATGGTGGTAGTACCTCAGATGGTAATAAAGACGAACAGGTGGCAGTGACTGGTAGGGTGACAGGTGGTGGTAGTGACTGATAGTGGTGACTGGTAGTGGTGGTGGTGGTAACTGGTGGTAGACAGCTAGTAGAGAGACCGAGTGGCAGACAGTCTAAACAGTCACACCATCTCCCTCCCCCTGGTCACTAACTGGTGGCAGACTGTTAGTAGGTTCAGTGCTCTTCATCAACCCAACACCTGAATCAAAATAACAAACCTACCAGTCAATAACCACACTACCACAATCAATAACAATCAACCAGTCTATAACCACACTACCACAATCAATAACCACACTACCACAATCAATAACCAAACTACCACAATCAATAACAACATTCATTGATACCCCTTAACAACCACATTAACACAATCAACAACCACCTCCCTCACCACACTACCACAATCAACAACCACCTCACTGACAACACTAGCACAATCAACAACCACCTTACTGACCACACTACCACAATCAACAACCACCTCACTGACAACACTACCACAACCAACAACCACACCACTCTACCACAATCAACAACCACCCACTGACCACACCAAATCAACAACCACACCACAATCAACAACCACCTCCCTCACCACACTACCACAATCAACAACCACCTCCCTCACCACACTACCACAATCAACAACCACCTCCCTCACCACACTACCACAATCAACAACCACCTCCCTCACCACACTACCACAACCAACAACCACCTCCCTCACCATACTACCACAACCAACAACCACCTCACTGACCACACTACCACAATCAACAACCACCTCCCTCACCACACTACCACAACCAACAACCACCTCACTGACCACACTATACCATACCTAACCTAACCAACAAGAGTAAAATAATCAGCTGTTTCTCATAAGACGCCAAGGAGTAAATCTTTCCTTCCTTCCTTCCTTCCTTCCTTCCTTCCTTCCTTCCTTCACCACACGAACAGGAAGTTGACAATCAGGAGGCGAAGCACACCAGATTAGACTGTGTTTTTTGACCACTCAGGAAGGGGAGCACATCGGTAAAACACATCAAAATAGAGTGCTTTTTTTTAACAATCAGAAGGCAAAACACATCAGAATCTATTGTGTTTTCTTAGCCAATCAGAAAGCTCGTGGAGGTATAAGATAATCAGATGATGACATATTTATTTTACTATGTTGATCAAATTGGTGAGTATATCTGAATATGTTAATAGGGCTACAGGTGATTTACTCAATACCCCAGGTGAGTATACCCCAGGTGAGTATATCCCAGGTGAGTATCCCAGGTGGTATACCACAGGTGAGTATACAGGTGAGTATACCACAGGTGAGTATACAAGGTGAGTATCAGGTGAGTATACCCCAGGTGTGAGTATACCCCAGGTGAGTATACTCAGGTGAGTATCCACAGGTGAGTATACCCCAGGTGAGAGTGAGTATACCCCAGGTGAGTATACAGGTGAGTATTACCCCGGGTGAGTATACCCCAGGTGAGGTGTATACCCCAGGTGAGTATACCCCAGGTGGTATACCCCCCCCAGCCACAGGTGAGTATATCCACCAGTTGACAGAACATAACAAATTTACTTCGTCCACACACACGACCCATGCTCCCCACCCCCATTCACCCCCACGACGGCCCCCATGCCCATGATCCCCATTCACCCCTCACGACCCCCATGCTCCCACGATCCCCATCACGACCCCATGCTCCCCACGATCCCCCCCTCACGACCCCATGCCCCCCCCCGATCCCCATTCACCCCACGACCCCATGCTCCCCAGTCCCCATTCCCATCACCCCACGACCCCCATGTCCCACGTCTCCCATTCACCCCTGACCCCATGCTCCCTGATCCCCATTCACCCCCACGACCCCATGCTCCCCCACGATCCCCATTCACCCCACGACCCCCATGCTCCCACGACACCCCCATGCTCCCCCGATCCCCATTCCCCGACCCCCATGCTCCCCCGGCCCCCATTCACCCCCACGACCCCCATGCTCCCCGACCCATGCTCCCCGACCCCCATGCCACGCCCCATTCACCCTGACCCCATGATCCCATTCACCCCACACGACCCCATGCTCCCCACGCGCCCCATGCATTCCCCCCCCATGCTCCCCACCCCCATTCACCCCTCACGACCCCATGTCCCCGACCCCCATGCTCCCCATGCTCCCCACGCCCCATACTGCCCCATGGCCCATATATACCGGCCCCATGGCTGACCCCCATGCTTTCATGCTGCTGACACCCCTCCCTCACGCTACTCGACAGGTACTCATACGCACACAGCCATACGCCCTCATGTATGTATGTAGAAGGTACTCACATAACTGCACGCCACCATGTACGTATGTAGATAGCATACGCACACGGACGTACAAACAGCGCTCAAACGTACACATACACAGCCATCGAAACACAGGCATATACTGTACACAACACCCACAAACATACGCATATACGCAACGCCCCCAACACACACAGATACGCAACACCCTCAACACATGATGTATACATAGGTGCATACGCATATACGCACGACTAAACACAGGTATGTCCGCTCACATTTCTTCACGTACACACCCAGACACTTGCAGGTACACTCACCTCTACGCGCGCGCGCGCACACACACACACACACACACACACACACACACACGACTCGTAACTAATTCATCTAAATATACGCAATATACTTCTTGATATACCCAGATATACCAAACACATCTTCTCTCAGCTGGTACAACCAAATCGCTATGCCCATTTTAACCAACCACTCGTTATACCCATCCTCACCTGGTATATCCAAATATATCCATCGCTCGTACACTAGTTCCTTCCAGGTGGTATATTCAATATATCGATCAAATATACCTCATTTCCCCCTGATATATATATCCAGGTATATCATTAATTATAGATATAGCCGATTATACCATTAATTATACCAGGGTGACTTACGTTCAGGTGATCACGGAGAGACCTAACTAATCCTGGGGCATAATTAGTCCCGTCACAGGTGTTTTAATTACAGACAAACAGACAGACAGACAGATATAGATAGATAGATAGATAGATAGATAGATAGATAGATAGATAGATAGATAGATAGACAGACAGACAGACAGACAGACGTTGGATCCAATACAGTAGTTTGACTTTGGCCATATAATTATACTGTGTGCAGGTCAACCACGTGAACACTAGGGGTCGTCGTAGTGGTGGTGGTAGGGGTAGTGGTGGTAAGGGTAGTGGTGGTACTGGTAGGGGAAGTGGTGGTAGTGGTGGTACTGGTAGGGGGTAGTGGTGGTAGTGGTGGTACTGGTAGGGGTAGTGGTGGTACTGGTAGGGGAAGTGGTGGTAGTGGTGGTACTGGTAGGGGTAGGGGTGGTAGTGGTGGTACTGGTGGGAGGGGTAGTGGTAGGGGGAGTGGTGGTACTGGGGAAGTGTGGTGTTGGGGTGATATATAGGGTGGGGTTTTTTTTTTTTGTAGGAAAAGGAGGGTGAAGGAAGATTAGAGGTGGTGGAAGGAAGTTAAAGTTCGGAAATTGAAGAAGTTTGGGAGGAGGTAAGAGAGGGCGGGCTGACCGCCTAGTTAAGCTAATAGTGTGTTAGGGTTGTGTCATGGGTTAGTTATTGTCTGTCGGTACAGGCACTAGACATCCTACCCTGTCACATATATGGGTGTTTTAAGGGCCTTAGTTCATATTCCGCCGACCCTACTGGCGGATGCTGGTCTAGGGAGGTTGTCTATTGCCTGGCCGTATAGATCGGGGGTGGTAATGGACCTTTTGAGATTTGGTAGCCTTTTGGGAACCATGTATGGTTGTTGTCGTTATCTGATAAGAGTCTTTGAAGGAGTTCTTGCTCTGATCGTTCTATCTTTTGCCAGATTCTGCTGGCCAGGGTGTGCAACTGCTGGTTGATGGGTTTCATTCTCAGGTCTCTATGTATCTCGGCTGTGGTTCTGGTGAAGGGGTATCTTTCACCTGTGACGAATCTTAGGGCTTCATTTTGGACCACCTGTAATTTTAATATTTGAGTGGTGCTCATAGTATGAAGAGGTATTGCTGAGCAAGTTAATATCGGTGTTGGGGAGGCTGCTGGGTGGTGGTGAGGCGTACTGGGCCGGGTGGTGGTGGTGGTGGGGTGTACTGGGCCGGGTGGTGGTGGTGGTGGGGTGTACTGGGCCGGGTGGTGGTGGTGGTGGGGTGTACTGGGGAAGAGGCGGCCGCTGTACTGTACAAGACCCGGCCAAGATGATTGATAAAGGAGATAAGAGTGAGAGATAACAGTCCATGCTATCACCTCAATGGGTTCGTCCCCACCACTTTCACTCCTCTTCCTCTCCCACCTCCTCCTCCTCCTCCTCCTCTTCCTCCCCTCCTCTTCCTACCCTCCTCTTCTCCATCCTGTTATTGGGATTGATGGAAGACGCCCCAAACCCAACCTAACCTAACCTAACCTAATCTTAACCCTAGATTATAGTGACATAAAATACTATGACCAATTTCCTCGAGTACAGTATATTCAAGGGATTCAGTCATCGTACTCAAGGGGTTTAGTCATCGTACTCAAGAGGTTCAGTCATCGTACTCAAGAGGTTCAGTCATCGTATTCAAAGCCACAAGATAACTCTACCATTTTCACTTATTGTCTTAACATTTTCTTGACACTGCTTTCCCTTTCTCCCCACCTCCCCTCTCCCCTCTTCTACCACTTCCCTTCTACTTACCCCTCTCCTCCTTTCCTCTCCCCACCCCTCTTCTCCCACCTCACCTCCCCCCAACGTCACTGAACCCTCCCTTCCCTCTCTCGACCACCTCCCCTCTTCCCCACCCTTCCAATCTCTTCCCCTTTCCCTATCCTTCCCAAAAATGATAGCCTCCCCATTTCTTCCCTCACCTCCCCACCTCCTCCCTCACCTCCCCTCCTCTTCCACCCCTCCCCTCTCTTCCCCTCGTGCACTGAAAATGCCCCCTTCTTTTCCTTCACACACCGATTCCCTCCCCCTCCCTCTTCCTCTTCCCTCACCGCCCCTCTCCTCCCCTTCCGCCTCTCCCCTCCCCTTCCGCCCGTCTCCTCCCCTCCCGACCCTCCCCTGATCGTGTACACAAGCTGTCTCACCCCCCCCCGTCTGGTGTACTACTACTGTGTACTGTTGTGAACGCCAGGGTCTCTGTCTGTCTGTCTCTCTCTGTCTCCTTATCTTTCTTTGTCTCTGTATATTTGTCTCTCTGCCGTCCTCTTATTTTGTCTCCTCTGTCTATGTTTATCTGTCTGTCTCTCTTTGTCTCTCCCTCTGTCTCTCTTTCTCTCTCTAATCGTAAAATTAGTGGTAATTCAGACAAACCCCCAACAGCTGAGATCTTCTTGATGGTAATGGCAAGAAAAATCGCCAAAAGAAAAACTGTTGCAATAAGTGACAAACATTGCAAAGTTAAAAATATTGCAAGGAAATACATTGCAATAATTAAGAAGAAAATTGCAAAGTTGCTTCACATAATTCAGAAACGAGACGAAATATTGCAAACAAGAATGGTGCAAAGTTACGTTTTACGATTAGCAAATAAGGAATGCAATATTGAGAAAATATTATTGCAATTGTAAACAGGAGAAAAGTACAATAAAAGAATAAAGGAAAATGAAATAGGCTCAAGTATTACAATATATGACTTTGCAAATTACAATAGAAAGTAAATGTCAAAAATTAGTGGAAAAAAAAGTTACCTCGTAAATGGTAATGAGAAGAGTTGCAAAAATTGGCCTTGCAAATTAGTACCATAATTGATATATTAAAAAAATTACATAACACTTAAACACATATAAACTCATTACAAAAATTGGCAATACAAAAAAATATATATAGAGACATTACAAATATAAACAAAATCAATATAGCAAAAAACATGAACAAACCAAAAGAAATTACCCCAAAAATATAGACGTTACAAATAAATTACAAAAATTGATTAAGATATTGCAAAAAATAATTATTGACGTGGCAAACGGCAATAGAGAGAGAGAGCAGAGTGCAAAAATGGCCCAAACTTTGGCAGCAGCTGTCTAGACGAGCAAACCTCCTCCCTCTCCCCCTCTCCCCATCCATTCACATTCCAGCCCCATCCCTACACGCCATCCACGCCCTTCTATCACCACACCTCAAGGGTCAAACTCCTTCCCCCAACAAACGCTCCTCGCTCCCACTCCCTCCCTCTCCTCCCAGACGAACCAGGCGGGGAAAGTTGACCTCTGTGTTATAACTCAATACGATCCATATCTCTCTAATACTCCTTGTAGCTGTCATGGTACGGCCCAAAGCCCTGTGTTAAGGTAATGTAACTCTTACGTTAGGGTTCCGCTAGGTCAATTTTTGGGTCCTAAATTATTTTGGGGGGATGGTTATGTGAGGAATATAGTGCTATACTTGCAAGAGAGAAGATGGTTAAGGGAGCTTTATATCCAGGTGTTACAAGGAAGATAATGCTATACTTGAACTAAGAGAGGGCAGTTATAAGCCTTATATCAAAGTGTTATAAGGAATAAAGTGATATATTTAGCTTCAAGCGAGGATTAACTGACCTTTATATCGGGAAACCAAAATAGTGCTATACTCGCCTTAAAGGGGGAGGTTAATTGACCTTTATGTACCTGTGTCGTAAGGGCGAGAGTTGTATTCTTAACTTACGGTGGTTAATATGCTCTTAACTTGGAGGGATCATAACGGCAATAGCTGGATTCTTAACTGTCAATGGTTAGGATTGTTTTATTAACTTACGATTAGGTTAGGTTAATATTAGGTTAGCTTAGGCTACATTAGTATTACGTTAGGTTATGTTAGATTATGTTAGATATAGGTCAGGTTATGTTAGTATTAGGTCAGGTTATGTTAGATCTATGTTAGATTATGTTCGTATTAGGCTTTGGTTTTGTTAGTATTACGTTAGGTTATGTTAGATATAGGTTAGGTTATGTTAGTATTAGGCTTTGGTTAGGTTAATTTTAGTTAGAACATTTCTGGACAAGATAGGTTAGGTTAGGTTA